ATATTTATATTTATATTTAGCCTTGCTTTATATTAAGCCTAATATACCTAATTATATATAGGTATAAGTATATATTAATATACCTAAATATTTAGGTATATTTAGTCTGCAAATATACCTAAAAGGATTGATCTTAGCACTAAAGACGGGTAATTACTGGATTCTAAGAGTACTCAAATGTGTGGGAGCTTCCAACTTCTCAGCACACTCAGAAGAGGGTGCTCTGGAGATGTTCACAAGCAAGAAATATAAAACTCACCTGATCCTCAGGCTCTTTACTGGAACCTTCATCAAATCCACAGGCAATGGTGTATGGTGGGAATGGTTCTGACCAATATGCCTCCTGTGTACAGTTTCTCTGAAGGAAACCTTTAATGGTGAAATATATTGATGAATGAATTATGTGGGGGATATGTGTGTGTGGTTTTTAAGTTCTGATGAGAAACAACAGATTTTTATTCCTGCTTTTACTCTGAAGTTAGGCTAGTCACATTCACCCAGATTAGCTCTAGATTTGTAATGTTCTATATATCTATTTTTTAAAAAGCTGAGAGAGAGATTCCCATTCATTTCAAGATGCGGTAGAACTTGTACATTTCATATAGGAAACTAATTTTGCAAATTGAATTCTTACACAGAGGAAATAAAATTATGCGGTCTATCCTGCATTTACAACATAATTTGTGCTTGTGAACAAAGCCCTGAGCCACCTGATCTAGCTTTGAAGTTAGATACAATTCTTTAACTTCTTTAACTGGAAGATTGGACTGGATGACCTCAAGAGGTCCTTTCTAACAGCAATTATTCTACAACTTTATAAATCAGTGATTCTGACATATTTCTTTATAACCATAGCAATGTACTGCAATTACTCATAATTTTTAGACCACCTTTAGCTGTCTAGTTTAGACTAGACAATTTAATGCAGAATAACGTAAATCAAAACCACGACAAATATTGACCATAAGCCAAGATTTGCATCTGGATAATTATTGTATGTCAACTGATAAAAGATAGAATCATGAATCAGGAAAATATGCAAGCTGGTGAATCTTTAACTATTAGAATTTATCTTAAAAATATGTAGAGATAAAAAGAAAAGGAAAAAGGTCTTGCCATGGATATTGGTGATTTCTTCAAAAAAACTTGGACAGGGAACTTTAACCACTTCCCCAAAAGCAACTGTGGGCCAGCAGGTTAGACCATCCCAATCTCTGGCACATCCTGAAAAAAAAAGTGCCTGTAAATAAACACACACAGAGAGAATACCATGCATTTGATCTTCCATGATTAGATTATCTGTCATTTTCCCACTAACAGCCACATCAGGACATGCAGCTCTGCAAATGACAATTAAATTGTTTTCCTCTTCTCTTTGAATACATCTTTGCTCACATATGTGCTTAGCATTCCAGCTGGACCTTCCCTCACCTTATCTCATGAGAGAATGCACCTGAAATTCAAGCAGACACAATCTGAAAGTAAAATCAACTGGAGGTCTTTCTATTATCAAAAAATAAGTTACCAAAATCAAAGTTATAAATAATTCTTAGCACTTGAGATTTCTCATTAATGGTTTCATAGTCTAACTGAAAAACATCAGACTTAAAAATTCAGCCTTAGACTCTTGATTCCATGCTTAAAGTCTACCAGTTTCACCTGAATTAAAGGAAATAAGAGCTGGAGTCCTGGTTTTAGGCAATCAATGGCATTTTTACAATGGATTTCAACAGTGATTAGATTCATCCCAAACTAGAAGAAAATCTCCCAGCGTCATATAAAATAACCATCATCTGGCATAGGGCTGGCTGGCTGGCCTTCACAGGGTTCCCTAAATCAGAGATGCCGAGCTGATAACAGGGGCATGCTACTAGCTACGAGTCTGGTAAGATGGGTTTTTGGAAATTATAGTTAATCACAGCTTTGTCATGGAGGCATCCCATTGAGACTCAAGCTGTGGTCATGCAGTGTTTTTTGACAAGCAGGTGTGGGTGCAGCACAGAAAAGTTATCAGCATATAAAGGTGCCTGAACCTAGAAAAAAATCACTGCACTGTAACCAAAACTAATCTCTAGTCATAAGGTGGATATAAAGCAGTGCATGAGTTTTATTTAGGAGGTATAATTTTCTTTCACTGCTTCTATTCTGTTTCATCTGTGACTGATGACAAGGCAAATCTAAAATTGTCAAGAGCTGAAATGTGGAAGCAGTATTACTTGCCTGTAGCTGAGCAAAGCTATTCTCTGGCTTCTGAAAAGATGGTCCTGACAATCTCCCACAGCTTTATCCTCACGTTGCCTTGGGGAGGATGAAATTCCTGGTATACCCAATTTGCCAGATGGGAAAATAGAAACCTTGATTCATTATCTCTAATTTTAATTGTCTAAAATATGTTAGCTAATCTCAGCTATGTTCCCTCTGTAATCAGCTGAAAGAGTCAGGGACTTCCAGTGCATGATTCATCCCATATATTGGAGGCTCCTTTCTGACGGCAGGATGAATCACTCACTGGAAATATCTAGGTCTTTCTGATGATTATAGCCTTAACTAGGCTGCTAATTTTCAAATTAATAAAGCCAGGTAATATGAATCCCACTTAGTGCAGTGGCCCACGCACTTAGACTTACAGTCTTAAAGAGTATCTCTTTGAGAGGCTGTAGTACATTTGATGAGCTGGATCTAAAAATTTATTGTAAAAGGTAATGTGAGCTTAAACCAAGAATCAGGTGACCTTATGTAGGAGTGGAACCTGCATATTTTAAGCCCTGCATCTGACTTCATTTTCAGTGACTTCTTTTACATGTCAAGGTTTTCAACAGACTGGTGATTGTCGAAGTCATCTGAGACTCCATAAAGACAACTGCAGTAAGAATTGTATCAAGTAATGTTGACGTCATAGATATTTAAGTCTTTTTCAGTAACCCATTAGACAATGGAGAAAAATAAATGTTTTTAGAGCTTGATTCAGTTGACCCATTTTACATGTCTACTTTGAGATGAGAAGAATTGCACCCTGGGGTTTACTGATAACTCGCATTAGACACTGCTCTGTGTAACAAGAATAATGTGGAACTACTTAAAGTTCTGCAACATAAACTAATCCCAGCACAGATTCCCTGTGACTACTGAGAAGTAACTGTACAAATTGTGATTCTTCATTTTGTCTGTAAACAACAGAACAAATTTTCATTGAAGTCTTTCCATCTCTAGGGAGTAAAAGGTGGAAAGGAGGGCTTTGAGAAGATCAGAGTTGACATGTCTGAAGATTTTTAAATAGTTTAACAGAACTCTAAGGGATCTTTATTTCTTTGAGTAGCCTTTGCTACATAAAGGACTCCAAAGTCATGCAATTATTTTTCTGGTAAAGCAAAAAATACTTGGGATGTCATACTGTAATGCATGGAATAAACCATTATTGAAAACGTGATTTTGGAAGAAATTTTTTGAGTGGGTTACTGGGTGTTCCAAGTGCATAACGTGTCCAGAAGATATTCTGTCTTGATAAAAGGGGCAAGGGGAAATACAGCTAAAATAGAGTAGGCAAGTAGTGATTGGAAGTGATGGGGAAGTGATTGGAAAATGATTGGAAAGGCTTCAGGGAAAAAAAAAAAAAAAAGGAACATCCTGGGGGTTGGTCTCTAAATTTTGATAAGCTGCTAAAGGCAGATTATTACCAGGTGGTGGTAATACTTCTTTCTGTTCATACTGAGTGCATGAGGCATCTTTGTGTCATAACTCCTGATAATTCGTGTAATTGAAAAATATCACTGATGTGGATTCATATTTCTAAGCAAACATGGCCAGAAAAACTACAGCTGAACTTTTGAAAGAGTTTGAACATTTTGAAATTTCACTTTGAATAAATTCAAAACATGTCAAATGTGTGTCAAAAAACAATGCCAAAACCCCAGCAAAGAGAACAACCTACACAGCATTTTAAAAATATTTTACAGGCTCTCTGAAATGTTCAGTTTGATTTTCAAAATTTATATTTGAGCAGATTTTGCATAAATTTTAAAAATCCACCACAATGAATCTTTTCAAAGAAACAAAACCTCTAAAAATATAGGAACAGAATATTTTTAAGAAGTTGGGACTATTTTTTTCTTCCATATTTTTGCAAAAAACATTTTCATCAGATTGGAATAATTCCCATCACAATATAATTTCAGCATGCTTTTCACTGTCTTCCATGGAAGTTTCTTTGGAGTTTTGGATATGAGGAAAGAACACAACAAATACTTTAGGATTGTAAGATATTCCAAGTAGGGTTTACCTGCCCTATCTAAGCATTAAAACTTGTCGGGGTCTGAAATAATTATCTTTGTCTCATTCTGTAGTTAGCAAATAAAAATATTACTCCAGAGAATGATTAATTTCATTCTAAAGTAGACATCTAAACCAAAGGCAATGAAACATGTTCTGACTTAGACATTGAGCTTTTGAAGATGTCTAAAATGAGATGAGTTAAAGTCCCATCCTATAGAAGAAACACCTAAAACTATTAATAAACCAAATAAAATAGAAACAAATCACGCCTCAGGACAACATCTAGATATCGTGACCCTGAAATTATATACAAGGGATATTCATATCAGAGCTTAACAATCAGGACTGTTACCTTTAAGATCAGGTGAAAGAGAGTCATTCTTTTCTAAGCAGAGAGCCTCCTCTTTGACCACTTGCTGGAATATCTTGCATTCTGGATGGATTCCCACAACCTCAGTGAGAAAAAGACAAAAAAACCCAAGAAGTTCTGTGATTACTGGAATGAGAAGGAATGGATCATTGGAATGAGGTCTCTTTCCAGTTTTTGTACCTTGTGGCTGATACTTTGAGGTCTAAGAATGTGAAAACTGCAGGTGAAGATGTATCTGCAAATCGGATATGTAAACAGTAGAAGGAGGCTATGATCTCATACATTTATCAATTTGTATACACATCTGCATATGCATACTTGTATGGATTCCTCAGTGTATCATAATAGTCAAGCTCATGTAGCACCTCCAGTCTGGATATCTATACCACTTCCCTTTTATACCAATGTTTTTCACAAAATTTAAATGGATTTGATGAATCCATCAGCTATGGGAATAGTCACACTGAGTCCCCCAAATATACATGCAATGTGACCATATGGCTATTTCTTCCCCACAAACCAAATTAAATATATTTCTTTAAAGGTACATGTTTTCTTGTTTGCTTGGGAATTTTTAGATAATTATTTTGGGTGTTCAGAATTACCTATTGGCAAAATATTCCTATTTTGATTCTTGGGAGTTCCCAAGAATCAAGTTTTCTTTATTGGAGGAATTAGCCGTAAGTGTAACAATAAAGTCTTAATTACTCTTCTGGAAGGTGTGCCTACTCTGCTTTGATGCTGATACTAATAGAATGAGTTCTTGGTCTTCTTTGAAACCTTGAGATTTTAGTGGCATACAAATGACACTACTGAGAGAGCATGGTGTAAGCTCTTCCCTTCTGAATGCAGTTGGCATAATTATGAAAATAGAAGCAATAAATAGGGGAACAAGTTTGCTGTTCACTGGGACTTAAAAAAGAAATCTTGAAGTTCAAGAATATAGAGAAAATAGAAAAATGGTAATCTGGGTCATAGTTTAATCTGAGTGATTACAAAATTTTACCAACATATTATATGATGATGCTATACACTCCTTACAGGCAATGTTTCCATTTTACCAGGCGAAGAAATAAGAATAATTAATGACTTGTTTTGGGAGTGTAAGGCATTATATTTATCTCACAGATTAAGATACCTACATTTAAACAGCTAAATAGATTTCTAGACATCAGTTATTGGATAGGGGCTAGATTCATCTTCCTAACTACACATACTTGTGTCTGTACTACTACAATGACTAGTATCATTTAGATGCTGTCTTGTATTTTGCTTGATCTCCATCTCCCACTCAAGAAAGTTTCATGTCCCCTTTAGTCCTGCATCATATCTGTGACTGTGAAGATGTTCTTAATACATCCCAAAATTATTGTCTCTGGAAAGGCAATTCAATTCTAAGAAGGAACCTACAATGTCAGTGTCTACATGTGATCTTGTTATCTGAGCTTCTTTTGCAGTCCCTGGAAAAAGAATGGTTAGTGCTGTTTGGGATGATGCAGGGTATCTCAATCATCTTCTGTACATTCTGTATTAATTTTGCCAGCCCCATGTAGAAGTCTCAAATGCATTGTTTGATGTCTCAAATATTTCTACACACCCATGTTAAATAACTGAATTAGACAGAAAGAAAGTCAATAGACTCAATAGAGTCTAGAAAGCAACTGAACAGTAATCAGACAACTGAATACTGCACCAAAGCCTCCTTTGGGATATTGGGGTCTTCAGGGCAAAGGAAGTCTTACATGCAATAGAGCAGAGGGCTCTATTGCAAGCTACGTTATTCAAGGCAGAGCCAGGGGCTCAGAGAGTAGTTGTTTTAACAGAAATGATGGATTGAAGGCTTTCTGAGACATTTCTGTGGAAGCCTGTAGGCCATTCTAAATCTCTAATGACTTTGAAAACACAGTAAAGAAAAAACATCACTGTTATATTGCCTTTTCAGTCTCAGGAATTTGATTTATCAGCCTTCAGAATGTTTCCAGTGAGCAGTGCAACCAGGACTTCTTTTAGCCTCCACAGAAACTTTACTTGAAGTCATGTAGACTTTTACCTCTTAGTAATGATATCTGCTGAGGGGTTAAAGAAAAGAACACACCTATCTTTAAAAACCTTTAAAAATACTGCCTACATTTGGCTTTCAAAGAAGCATAGACAGACTGCTTTTAATTATGAGGCCCTAGAGATGGTTTGTACATCCTAATATTAGAACAGAAAGAGGATTAAGGACACTGTTTGAAAAGAAAATTTAGGCATGGCCTTTTTCATGCATCATATCCCTCCAGTGGGTAATTTGAAATACATTTTATAAATTAGCATGTCATTCTTAAAATAGTACTTTTTACTTTTCAATATAACACAATTCTGAAATGAAATTTTTTGGGTATTAATAGGATCCCTGCTCGTTGCTTTATCTTTTAACACATATTTCACTTTACAGTCAGCCTACATAACAAATGAATTATTTGAGTAGTAGTAACAAAAGTATTGCTGCATACATATCTCACTATTTCATTTTATAAAGATGGATTCAGCTAGGCAGGAAAGAAGTAATTTCTCTACTTTCTGGAATTTTTATTATAGGCTAGTTCATAGGTTAAATATTACTGACACTTCAGTGTTTGAAAACCAACATCAAATGTAATTGCAGATGTAACCTACAGACTATCACATAAGAAGCTAAAATGAGGTTGGTGTTGTTAACTTGCAATCATGTAGTTTTACTGGAATTAATCCCACTATTACAAAAAAAAAAAAATAAATAAGAGAAAAAAGACATATACAAGAAATTAAGAACAGTGATGATGCTTTAATTTGTTGGTTTGCCTTAGGCTTTAAGAAAGAGGAAGACATTAAGCAATTTTACAGTTAAAGAAAATCCTCCTGGGCAGAACATTACTTGTGATTTGTTGGCTATGTCTTACTTCTTTTTTATTATTAATCTTACAATACCTTGAGAGAAAAGTGCATGTTGTTGCTCTAATCTGCCTACAATGATTAGGTGATGGGGTTTTCTAGAAAACAGGGACCCTATATTTGTTACGAAGACATAGTATTGCAACTTAGGAGGTATCTGCTGTGATGACTGAGCTCTTGTAGGAAAAGAGAAGCTCCTGTTCATCCTAGAAAAGGATAATTTAGGAACCAAAACAAAGCAGAGATTTCTGAAGCAGGGATGTCCAATCTGGCAGCCTTCTATACAACAGTGATAAGTTTAAGAGGCTGATTTGAAATTCTTCTAGGATCAACATTTCCTAGCATATAGGCAGCAACCTGGCATAAAGCTTACTGAAAACCACAGTGGGGTGCCTTCATCCCAAGGCTTATACAGAAAACAGGTTTCACGTAGTGTTGCAGACAGCACTCAACGAATGGAACTTTACATTGCTCTGCATCTTTTTGCTACTTTGAACATCAGTGACCAGCCAAAATTCACAGGGGTGTTCTATCTCTAAGTCCTAACCACTGAAACAATCTTGCCCAAAAAAAAGTGATCACATAGTGAAAATTAAAAAGTTACCGATGACAGGCATGAGTATGCTAAAAATCTGAGACAGTTTAGAAATTCAGATTTTGGGCTTGCACTTATATTTAGACTTCCTTTTCTTAACATCTGGAAGGTTATTGCATTGAAACCTTAAGTGGTGTACTCACTGATACTAAGTATAACACTGTTTTGTATTTTGTTTGTACATGATAGTTTATTCATTTGCTCAAATCTGAACAGAAAAACCAAGCTAACTACTCTCTGGGCTTTCATTTGCTCATGTGGGACAACATCAGACTTATCAGGCACTGGGAAGAGAGTTCTTCTAGAAACATCCTCAGGCCATACTTAGTGCAACTTAATTAAAAGCAATCTTTCCTGAGTGCCCACCCAAAGATGGTGCCCAGAGGTTACTGCAGTGTAGAAAAACTGTAATTTAGATGTCATACAAAATACAGATTTACTCTCATTAAGAAACACTCTTGGGGAAAAGTAGGAACATTTTCTGTGCTCTCCCAAAACAAGGGAAGTGCTTCAAAGCTGGACACTGAATGTATTAGTCATTTTTGAAACAGCAATTCAATGGAATCAAAGAGCCAGAAGTAAATTGGTAACATCTAGTCTTTTTGAAAATTAATAAAAAATTGAAGAAGTGTCTGAATTCATTGGCAAGATGGGAAGGTTTCAAGAACTTCAAGGGTCTTTCCAATGATCCGGTTTCATTTCCAATGCTGTGCAATCCTAAAACCTCATAAATAGGTTTTGCGTCAAGTGTATAAATAATTTACTAAGAGTATTCATCACTGTTCTTTTTGCTTCTGTCTCTACAGCTTTCATTCATGTCTCAGATCTCATCTCAGACGTGCTCTGAAATCATCTCTTAATTCCCTGTTCTCCCTGTCTGTGCTTCCCCTGTTCAGTTTTTCCTGATATGACTCTGATGCCTGAATATTTCTTTTATACAAAACCAGAGCTATCTGCCATTCATGTCACACACAGACTCCCAGCTTGGAGGATTAAAACTCACCTTGTGTTTATACACAGAGAAAGGCACGGTAAGAAACTCCTTTGTTGCCTCCCCATTTTTAACTGTGGAATGAAGCATTCACTCACTCCTGAAAGCTGGCGAACAAGAGAACCAGGATATGGCCTGAAATGCATACAGTTTTTTCAGCTGGAATTTTGATGAACAGGAAAGTCTTATAGGATGGGTGAAGGCTCATGAAAAATCAAGAAGACAAAGAAAACCTCAGCCTTTTTCATAAATTTCTCAGTCTGATGAATATATTGTATCAAAATTTCATTCAGAATGTCTCAAAAGGACAAGTGCTAATTAAAAAGCTTGGAGATTGGGAACTACAGGTCACTGAAGATAGGGACAATTTTCACATGTGCTTTGAAGGGAGATGGGACTAACCTCAAGCTCCATAAGTTCTTGTCCATTTCAGTAGGGCTAGAACCACAATCACGGCTGTAAGGATCTTCCTACCTACTGTGCCCTATAAGTAAATCTGGGTTATTTGTAACGTAATATATGTAGCATTATGTTCTGTCAGAAAACTACAAGAAATTATAAAAAATAATCAAAGATTTCTTAT